CCTGGGGCAGAGGGGACGGGCAGGGGTGGCGCTCCACCGTCGCTTCATCGGAGGCAGACTGCAGGGGCAAGCCCTCCCTTGTGCTTGCAGTCGTCGTCCGTTAACATGGTGGCAAGTGCTGGCTTACTTGTTCACTGTTTGTCTCCCGTCAACCGGAATGTCAGGTTCCTGCCAACAGAATTGCTTTTTCTGTTTTGTTTGTCACTATGTTCCTGGAGTCCAAACTAGTACATGGTACTTAGTAGCTGCTCAGTAAAACATTGCTGCATGAACGAGTGCATGAGGATGAAAAACCCAGTGGGTAAAGCCATTGATAACGCTCTCTGGAGATACTTTTGCTGACATTGCTTTGTCCTGGGTGTTGGGACAAAGTACAATTAGTCCCTGGACAGTGGTAAGCCCGCATCACGGTGGGGGGTGTTGAGAACTGTAGGAGAGAGTAGGCTAGAGAAGAGAGCGCCAGAGAATATTTTAAAGAGTTAGGAGTTAACAGTTAAGAAATGTTAAGAGTCCCAACCTTTTCTTGAAATAAAGAAAAAAAATTATGCAATGTATGATGAGTGGTAAGCGAATTTCAGGTCTGTATCAAGGAGTTTGCTCAAGGAACTTGTTCCTGGACACCATGGAAAAGGACTCAGGATCCGTCAACAATAAGAATCGGTTCAAGCAAGCTTTCCTGGTTGCCTGGTGTGTACTGGGTGTCATGAGGTCCACAGAAGTGTCAGATGGGGACGCTGTCCTCAAGCTGTGTTGAGTCCAGCTGGAGAGATAAGGCTGGGGTCTGTGAGCCAGCCAGCCCACTAAGGCAAGCTAGGCCCAGTGGTACAACTGAGAGGGTTTCACCAGCTGAGGCTCCTGAGGGTGAGGGAATATCAAGGAGGACTTCCTGGAGGAGGCAGGCCCAGGGGATTGAGAGACCAGCCAGGTGGGCAGCCTCTGCAGGCACTGACCCAGAAGCACCCTGAAACCTCTCAGGGAATCAGCAGAAATCTGCTGCTTGTTTCTCACACAGCTGGTGGGAAGGAAATTTGTGGCTCTTTTGTCAAAATACTCTTAAGTAGATAAGTAAATACCGAAGCAGGTTATACCCTTAAGTAGAAAGAAAACGTTCATGGGGTATTTTTGTGATGCACACTGCAAGTTGCTGCAGCCGTTGGCCAGGGGCCCTGAGACGGGCCAGCTGGCACCCTGTGGAGTGGGCACTGCCCGGCAGCCCAGATTCTGAAAACAAATAATCCCCAGCAAGGGCTGTTTACCAAGAATATGTCTGAAAGCCTTTAGAATGTCTCCTGAAGAGTGGTTTGGCGGCAACAGAAAACTACCGAGAGAATAACAGCTACAGAGAGCAAATCACGCCTGAGATGCACCTTCATACTGAACATAAGGAAAGAAGGCTACAATTTTTACTAATGGGAAGGTGACTTCTTCTCGTTTTCGTTAGGTTAACATTAAACAAACACAGAAAGATGATTAATTCCAGGGGTGGCGGGCTTCTAGCCAGCCCTGGGTGCCCAAGTGCTCCCGGCCTGCCCGGCAGGCAGGATGATTTCTGCTGAGCCACGTGGTTCTGTCGGGGAGAGGAGACTAATAACGTGCAGAATAATTTCAGAAACTGCCAGAAGACATGATAAATGCTGGTGATCAGGGCGACCACACCTGGAGGGACAGGTGTCTGTGGAGATGCCCAGGAAGCCCCCAGCTTGGAGTCTCCATCCTGTGACTTCCCTGTCCGATCCCTCTTTGCCCAGTTCTGCTGCATCCTGCAAATAATACCTTTCTGGGTGACCCCCCTGGGACCTGTCGCCTCAGCCCGAGCCCAACTTCTGCGTTTGATGCCACACTGCCCCCTGGTGGCCAATCATCATATGTCCCTGGGGCTTTCTGCTGAGAGCGACTTTTCCAGGGCAGGTGCTGGGCTCTGGTGCCTTGTGCTTCTCCACCTTTTGGGTCCGAGGCGCTCACTGGGCACCCCCGCTGCTGGCAGCCAGCTGCACCACAATGGCGCCCCTCCCGAGGCCGGCGCACAGAGAGCCAACCAGGTTCAGCCCCGTGCTGCGCTGACCATCGCCTGCCGCGGACACCAGACTGCCCGTCCTCACCCAGCTAGCAGGGGAGGGCGCCGACCTCCTGTGCCACAGGAGTCACCAGCTTCTTTCACGGGCCTGGATCGGGAAGAACCTCTGACCTGCCCTGGGGCCCTAGGAACCCGCTACTGGGGGTGAGGAGGACACCTCCGCTTTGACCCGAGGGAGCTCCCTCTGTCGGAACAGCCCAGGACAGCTCTCTGTTGCTGGTGGCAGGGCAGGGCCCGCAAGGCCGCTTCTCCCTTCTGTGCCCGCGGCAGGCGTCGTGAATCAGTCCTCACCACCCACCAGAGCTGGCGCGGACGGCGATGCTCCTTGCCATCTGTTGGGGTTGCACGGTGTCTCCCCAGCCTCCCAAATGTCATGTTGAAGTCCTAACCCCTGGTGCCTGTGAGTGGGACCTGTTCGGAAGGAGGGTCTGGGGAGATGTGATAATCGATTGGGGTACAGGATCCAAGGATGGGGTGGAGTGTTCCCAGGTCGATCCCCAGTGGTCGGGTCTCAGTTTCCCTGTCCGACAAGGAAAGCTTCCTCAGCAGGAGAGGTAGGCGGTGAACCATGGTGTGTGTGTGTGTCATTGGTAGCAGTTAAAGCAAAGGACAGGAGGACCCCAGAGCCACACGGATGGACCTTCAGCATGGGGCTGGGTGGGACACAAAGGCGAGAAACAGAACTAGATGGCACAGTGCCCTTTGTGCAAATTAAATGCTTGCACATACCGTCCAGAACAAAGCCATGCACACTAAAGGAGTCGCAGCCTGGGGCGGGGAGGGTGAGGCTGGGGAATGCAGGAAAGGGGAATGAGAAACAGGTGGGGCAGGGGATCTGACGGGGTGACAGCTGCCCCCAGGCTCGCACTGACCCACGTGCATCCATAATTTGAGAAGCCCAACGTTCCTTTCGCTCGCGGGGAACCTGAAGACCAGAGAAGTTATGTAACGTGCCTGGATCACACAGCTGTTGACAGGAGGGGAGCTGGGACCTGAATCCAGGGCAGCCGGCTGCAAACCTGGGTTTCTCCTGCTTTGGGACACCTCCCCTTCTCTTGCTGCCCTGCAGGCCAGTTAATAACACCGCCAGCTGCGCAGCACACACCTGCCTGTGTAGCTTCGTTGCCACTCACCTCGTGTCGGCAGGTTCTCAGCCCTGCTGGACTACCGTGCTCCCTGAGATGGGCAGGGCCGGGAGCTCGGCCCGTGTTTGCTCAGGTCGATGCGAGGCGAGATAAGGAGGACCTACGTGTGAACCGCCCCTTCTGACCCCCCCCCCCCCCACCCATCCAGTGTCAGTGCACGGCCTTACACCGTCTCCCTAAGCAAAAACGGGAGACATTTATAACCACCCTCCCATCTCAAATCACAAGTGAACACAGGAGCAGAGAGCAGGGACATCCCAGCGTCCTTTGACCCCGCGGCTTTTGACCCTCCACCGGACTATGGGGTCCTCTGCCCAGCAGCCTGGTTGCTTCCTCACTCCACCCAACGTCGCTCCTTCTCTCCCTGAACTGCCCGGTGTCACTGCCCCCTAATGTCCTGCTGCCGGGCTTCACGAGCCGCGCCTCCAGCCTGGAGCCTGTGCCCTTTGCCCCTTTCCCGGCCAGGTGTTCTCCAGGCGTGCGTGATCAGAAGAATCATCTGAGTGCTTGATAAGCATCGACAGGGAGGCCTCCATCCTGGCTGCAGCCATCGGGGGGCTGGGGGGGGGGCGTGTGGGAGTCTCTGCCGTGGGCACACCCCACCCAGGGGGCCCTGCTGCCCCCACCTGTTTGCAGTGCCCGGCGCGTCCCACCCCGTCCCCGCAGCCCCGCTGTGCTGCTGTTGCAGGAATGAGGTCTCCTCCTGACTGTGAGCCCCGCCCCCTGCATCAGCATCTCCGCTCCCACGTCTGACCAAGTCAGCTGGCACTGCTGAGCCTCTGTTTCCTCATCTCCAAAGTGGGGGGCAAGGCGGAACACCGATCCCAGGGGGGCTCGTGGGATTGAACGGGATGCTACAGCCAAAGGGCCTAAGGGTTCCTGACTGCATACGAGTCAGCTTCTGACCTGACAGGTGCAAACCCTGCAGGCCGGGTGCTCACGGCTCTCTCGGGTCCTGTGACCTGTCCTAAACGGCCTCACTGTCCAGGTGCCCACCTGCCCTCTGCAGAAATAGCTGCAGCCCCTATGGCAGCCTGTGAGTTTCCTTGTAGGAGTGGGTGTGTGCCAACCACCTGCCAGCCCCTGTTCCACGCAGGCAGGCGGTGGTCAGGCTGGTGTCCCAGGGCCCTCTGCCGGCCTGCAGAGCCCCAGGCTGATGGGCATGAGCCCACTGTGAATGCTGCTGCGGTCCCTGGAAGGTCAGCCCATTTCCATGTTGACCTCGACTTGCACTGTCTGCTGCCCACTCCATTTCACTGATCCCGGCACCCTGGGGTGGTCGGGCCAGTTGGTACACACGGTCATCATTGCCAAGGACTTCTGAGCGTGCCTCCTGCCTTTCCTGACACCGTGCAACCAAGTCAAGTTCAGAAGTGACGTGGATGCCGCCGTGGCCCGCATTTCAAATTTTGAGCTCATCGTGATGGCCTCATTGCCCTCAGGGACTCACTTTATAGTAGTTACAGGCCACGAAATGGAACTTGAGAGATACATCTATAATAACAAATGGCCACCTTTACCTGTTTTAGTCGCAGGACCTACCTCACGGAGTGACGGGGGATTAAGTGACGTCAGCCTTGGCCCGGAGTCGGTGGCTTCGTACAGATTCGAAGAGGGGGGCCTGCAAATACCTGGGGGCAGAGCCGAGGGGGGGTGGGGGGCGGGACGGCAGGAACCTGGCTCCGAGGCAGGGGCGTGCCTGGGGTGTCTGTGGCCCCCCAGAAAAGCCAGCAGCAAGCCAGGAGGCAGAGAATCACAGGTGAGATCACAGGTGGGTGGCAAGTCACTGTTCCTTTATTTCCATCCTGTTTACATTATTTTTGTCCTTAGTTCCTCTTTATGGAAAGATACTTTCTTTGGCGCCGATACAAAGTATCCCTCTGAGACATCATTATGTGAGAAAAAGTCAATGTAAGGAAACAGAAAGGGAATACGATACAGTGATACAGTGCACGAATAAACACAAACTGCGAAGACTGTCTGAAGTTGGGGGACCGAGGGAGGCGGGTCTCTCTCCCTCACCTCGCTTTCTCAGCGCAAGTAGGTGCGGGGTTTTGAGGCCAAAGTTTCCCGGGCAACCTCACCTGACGCCTGGCGTCAGAGCCGTGCAGTGGGGGGCGCTGGTCGCTGCATCCACTGCCCCTCGCTGTGAGGTTGGAGACTCCGAGGCCCAGGGCGGCAGAGAGCCTCACGGGCACTTTGGAGGGAAGAACTGGTCGTGGTTTCTGTCTGACTCAACACCCTCGCTGCCTCCACCCTGAACCCCGGGATTCCGTCCCCCCAGAGACTCTTGAGGAGCCTGAGCCCGGGCAGGGCCAGGCTGCCGGGGCCCCGCGTAGACGAGCTCCCTGAGCACCCACCTCGGGCTGGGGAGAGCAGACAGGGAAGGTGGAGGGTGGGAGCGGGCGCTGCGGCGGGGCTGGCGGGGCGGGTGGGGAGAGCCCGGTCGTGCTGTAGACCAGCTGAGGCGGCTCTGGCCAACCCGGTGCAGGGGCCTTGAGGGGGCTGGGGGCCTGGGGGCCCCTTCTGTGCCTGAGGAGATGGGCACCGCCCCACCTAGGCCACCAGCACAGGTCAGACAGTTCTTGAAATGGCATCGTTTGCCCCATCAGGCAGGTAATGGCCCCCCGGGGAAGGGGCAACGGGGCGGGTTCTGACGCTGCGGTGGGGGCCGGCGCCTCTTCACCTCTGCCTCTGCTCCGCTCGTGTGTCACTTCGAATCACGTCCTCGTAGGATGGCGGGGGCCCTCCGAAGCCCAGTGACATGTCAGGAGCAAGGGGCAAGTCGTCCTTCTGCAAAAGAGAAGCCGCTGACCACCGTGCTTGCCGGTGTGGAGAGGTGGCCTGGGACAAAGCACCTTCCCACTGGCGCACTTGTTGAAGTCTTAGGGCCCCTGCGACGGTGGGGAAACCGGGGCTGGAGAGACCGAGGGGCTTCCATGAGGGGGGGTGCAGGGGTCTCTCCACCTCCTTGTTCTTGAGAAGGGGGAGCAGGCAGCGGCCCACCAGGTGGGCAGCTGACTGGGCCTCGATCCCGGCTGGCCAGCCACCGGGGTGCAGGTGACTACGGGCAGGTCACTCTGCTGGCTGGGCCAGGTGACACCCCCGCCGCCGCTCCTCTTCGCTGCAGGGCATTCTAGGAGCACATCTAGCGCTAACAGGGTCCCCAGCCACTGGCTGCGTTGTCCTCGTCCCTGGTCTGTGCTGAGGGGGCGCCACCCAGTGCTGCGGAGCCCGTCCCTGGCCCCGTCCTCTCAGGCGGAGGAGGCCACAGCAGCCTTTGGTGGGGAGGCCACTGGCTCTGTGACCTGGGGAAGTCACTGAACCTTTCTGAGCCTCATTCCTCCCCCTGAGAATAAGAAAGCAGAGCCCTTCCCCCAGAGCGGCTGCGGGGCTCAGGGAGGTCGGGGCCTCCCCCTGCAGCAGGCGGAAGGAGGGCCCGGGCCCGTGACCGCCTTAGGTTACATGGTGAAGGGGCGCTAACGCCGCTCATCGGGACACCCCGAGAGGGGGACATGATCCTGAATTTCCTGGGCGGGCCCAGGGTCACGGTCACGAGTGCTCTCCACAGAGGAAGGGGCGACAGATGAGCGAGGGTGCTGGAGGAGGCTGGAGGGAGGGGCTGCCTCTAGAAGCTGGACCAGGCCAGGGAGCGGGTTCTCCCGCAGGCCCTCCAGGAGGAGGCGACCCTGCGGGCACCTGGCCTTCAGCCCGTTTCAAATTGCCGACCGCCAGACCTGCCAGACGCAGCAGCGGTGAGGGTGGAAATCTGCCATGGCAGCAACGGGAGACAGGTCGAGTTGTCGGCACAGGCCCTGTGCCTGGCACAGCGGGTGCCCCGAGCAGGAGGAGCAACCATGGTCCATTGCTGCAGCCGGGGCAGGGGGCTCAGTCTCCCCACCCCTAAGAGTGGGGTTGGCCTCGGTGGCTTCAGGCGCCCGGCCGGCCAGCTCTTGGACGTCCTAACTCGAAGACTCGCTGCCAGATGCCTGGGCAGCGAGCAGGACAACTTCTCTGCTCGGCCACATGAAACTCGGGGCCCCGCCTCCCATCTGCGTCCGGTGAGAACTCAGTAGGTGGACGACAGCCGGAGTGTGACATTTGCAGGATCTTGGGGGCATTTACAACACGCATTTGCATGGTGTTCTAAAGTTAAGCTTATGAGTTCCTCTTTAGCAAAAGGAGCTTGGGAAACCACCTCTGGGGCAAGGGTAGAATTCTGTTTCCTGGCCTTCTGTTCACACCTGTGGACAGGGCTCGGCCGCTGGTCACACATACCTTGGGCTGAGGCCTGGATTTCCTTACCAGCTGCTGTGTGACCTCTCTAAGCCTCAGTTCACTTACCTGTTGAATGGGGAAGCAAGCACCTACCTCAAAAGGGTTGCTAAGAAGATTCAGCTAGATAGTCACGCTTACCTGAAGTGCTTCCCGGAGTGAGAGCCTGGTGTGCCTGCAGGGCTCGGCCCGGGGGCCCCTCTGGCCTGTCCCACCCCGGCCACGCCCCACCACACAGTCCAGCTCCCCCAGACCTTCCCTGTCCTGTGGCCAAGCCATCGCACCTGCTGTACCCATGCTGGAGGTGGCTTCTTTCATCGTGGCCCGAATCCTGCCCTCCGCAGACCTCCCACTGGGAGACGAGGTCTCCCAGGCCTTGGAGCTGGGAGCGCAGTGGCCTGTGGCACACAGAGCTTGTGGCTTTTCCTCTATGGTGGCCCCACATTTGCCACCTCAGCTGGCATTCTCTGCGCTGTGCCTTCTCTCCCCCACTGCACTGCGGGCTGCCTCCGTGGCCTCACTATTGAATGCTCGGCAATGAGTGAGAGGCACAGTCCTCGTGTACTGCCATGGCCCCCCGCCCCATGTCCCCTGCCTGGGTCTTCTGTTTCCTCCTGTCCCCATCCCTTGGGGGCCTCACCTTTGCAGACAGGCGGTAGTCCCTGCAGGTTATGACGGCCGTGAGCCCCGCCAGGAAGAGCTCCAAGCAGACGAGGCAGAACAGGCCCAGCTCCAGCCTCTGCATGTAGACCTGGGGGAGGCAGGGACAGGGTGAGGCCTCGCTGGGAGCCTGCACCCGTCATGCCGCACAGGCAGGGGTCAGGCCCCGCCAGCAGAGGGCACTGGGGCTTCAGCTCCCAGGTGGGCTGTGTGGGGTGGGGAGTGGGTCTGGCCCGGTCACTGCTCTGTGCCCAGTGCCTGGCACCCATGGGTCCTCGGTGAAATCTGTCTAACGTTTGAAGGCTGGAGAACCTCATGGGTCCCTGGTGGAACTTGGAATCGCAGGTGGCCTTGGGCATTAGCTCGTTCAGCCCCACTTGGATGGGGATCCTGGGGCTGGGCTCAGAGACAAGGAGTGTCTCTTGCAGCTGGGGAGGGAGGAGGTAGGCTGAGGGCCACCGTGCAGCCGGGACATATCACAGGGCCAGAACATTGGGCGGGGGAGGTGTGCGTGTCCCAGCGTGGGTGTGCTCACACATGTGTGTGCTCGTGGAAGGTGACGAGGAAGAGGGAGCCAGCATGGCCAGAACCTCTGGAACCGGCCCTGGGGGCCCTCGGCCACGTGCGTGGGGTGGCTGGTCCACCTCCCGCCTCAGAGGCGGCTGCTGTGGTGATGAGAGCCCTGGGCCGTGGTGCGGCAGACCCAGCTCCGCGTCCTCACGGCAGGCACCCCTGACTCGCTGTGTGGCCGCAGCCCATCCACCTGGCCTCTCTGCGCCTCGGCGCTCACACCCGTGAAATGCGGCGACAAAGTGGACCGGGCAGCGCGGCAAGGCTGCAGTGAGGCTCACAGACACTGGTACCGGGGTCTCTGGGGGTCTGGCATTCAGGAGCCCGGAACAGGGAGTCAGCAGTGCCAGGCTGTCTGCCGCCAGCTCGCTGCCCGGCCTCAGACCTGCCCACTCTGGCCCCAGCGTCCCCATCTGTAGCAGTGGGACTGGACTCAGTGCTGTGAGAGACGCCACCTGTGCCTGGGCCCCGGCGGAAGTTCCCCGGGATCCAGAAACTTGCCCTGGGCCAGGCGCCTTCCCGGGAGTCAGAGGACCCTGGGGGCCTGGGCACTCACCACCGTCCTGTTGGGGAACTGTAGTCTCCAGACCAGGGACTCAAGGGAACTCTCCAGGAAGAGGTCCTTGGCAATGACAAAGAGGCCGGCCAGCACGCAGAAGATGCTCATGGAGTGTGTTACCAGGCACAGCACCTTCTACAAGCGAAAAACAGAAGTGATAACGGTTGTCCAGAGGTGAGGGACCCTGGCAGACCTGGTCCCCGCCTGCCCGTGCTTGCCCTGGGGCCCCAGGGAAGTCTCTGCCCATCTCCGGGCTGAAGGCTCTGGTCCGAACATGGCCCTCTTAGCTAGCTAACCCCTGAGAGGCCCCCATGGCTCTCCCCTCCTACAGGGACAGGACTGGGGGAGCCTGGGCTTTGTAATAAAGAGAGTTACTTCCCCTGTACCTCCTCTCAAAGCCGGCCCCCACCATCCTGGTGTCAGATACGCCCACTGCACACCCAGGTGGCCGCTCCCCCAGCCTCTGCCCCACAGGTAAGGGCCGCAGGAGCCCTGACGGTGCCCCGTCCTCACACACCCCAGGTCTGCCTCCCTCCCCGCCCTCCACGGCCCCTGTAACGTCTCTGGTCCTCATCATCTCGGGTTAAGCATTGTTCCAGGAGCCTTTTACCAAGTGCAAAGCCCTGCAATGAGGAAGCATGTAAACACAGGGAACCTCCAGCCTCTTGCTTGGGCTGGGATGCACTTCTCTGCTGGAAGAGGTGCCCTGCGCTTGGCTGCAGCAAGGGGGAGGCTTTTGGCTCTGGAGTTCCCTGCTTGGGAGGAACGGGTGGGTCTTTTCTAGGCATCTTCTGCCTCTGCCAGTTACACTGCACAACACCCTTCTGTTCTCTATGCCCTCTGGGAGGATGGGGGCAGCCACAGCCCAGGGCAGGCTGAGGGCACAATGTGGACCAGCCAGGGCTTCTGGGGCAGCGACTGGCCACAAGTAGGGGTGGTAGGGCCAGTCCTTCCGTCACCCACGTCCATCAGCCAGTCCTGTGTCAGTGTCTACCCAGCACCTGCCCCCTGTTACCCTCCCCACCCCCACCCTGGGCTAGAAAGATGCTCAGACACCTAGAGTGCAGGAAAGAGCCAGGGGCGAGGCGGACACGGAAGCCAGCCATGGCTGGTCAGGGAAGGGGCGGCGTGTGAAGTGTGATCAGCAGTGAGTCCGGCTGGGAGAGAGTGTGCGCGGGGACGGGGTGAGGTGCTGGGCAGGGGGCCACCCAGCCCCGGGTGGGCAGGACCACCGTTGTGTCAGGCTGCTGCTCAGTGGTGGGAAGCAGACAGAAACCCGGCTGCAGTCCGGGGCTTGCAGGCGTGCTGGTGCGGGAGGCCAGCCGAGGGCACTGGGGAACTGGGGAGGGCTGACAGCCGTGGGGCGATGCGGGCGGACCGGCACCCGGGAACAGTCACCCGGCTGCTGCGTGGAGAACAGGGTGCACGACGCCTCCGGGCCAGACAGGGTGGTGGGCACAACTGGGGTGCAGGAAGGGCCGTGGTGGAGGGGAATGGGCATGAGGGGCAGACCTCCAGGACACGGGGCCCCTCTGCCGGGGTGCGCCCTGCTGTTCTGAAGACTCGTGCCTGCTCCCGGCACATCCTGGGCGCAGCCTCCCGAGCCTCTGCCGCACACAGACGCCCTGCACGAGGGGACTCCGGGCTGCGGGATGGAAGGGAGTGATCTCAATGCTCCAACTTACCAGGGAGGTTTTCGGAACCATTTCCATTGCTATCATGGAGATCCCCGTGAAGAGGAACTGCAGGCCAGATTGGAAACAGTCATGAGAGAGAAGCTGGGCTTCGAAACCCACAGATTCCTTCCCTTTCCAGTACTTTCTAAGAAAACCCACTTGTGGCGGCCAGTGGGGTTGAAACACCATTTCTCCAACAAAGGGAGCTCAGCCTGCCCGCCACATGGCCCATCCCAGGCCCACTCCAGCCAGCAGCTCTGTCCCTCAGCTCACAGACCTCCGCCCCCCGGGACCAGGCTGTGCCCCGAGCTCCGAATGCCCTCCCAGCCTGTCCCGCTCCCCCCATTTTATCAGCCCAAACCCTCCCTCTGGGATCAGCTGAACTATCCCCTCCACGGGGATCCTTTGTCCTTCCCGAATCCTGCAGCGGGGAGGGGATTAGCTCTGGTTAAGGTCTCTGGTGCATTCCTGCAATTTTACTTTCAAACGTTTGTTGAGCCCCCACTCCGTGCCCACAGGGGGCAAAGGGGTGGGTGGGCACTGCGAGTGGACATGGTCCCATCTCCGAGCACTGGCCGCTCGGAGCCCGCACAGTGGGCCGGAGTGACAGTGGGGGCTGGGACTCGTGTCTGAGAGGAGCTGGGCACTGTGTGAGCAGGACTCCACCAGGGTCCAGAGTCGGGAGGGCACCCTGGGGAGCCTCGGGGGACCGTGTGTGCGCTGTTCTCCTCTCGTCTTGGGAGGACAGGAGCCGCAGCTCGCACCCTGTCCTGCAGACTGGCCAGGACAGACACTCAGGCACCAGGGGTGTCTGCTGCACCCAAAGGCAGCCTGGCCACCTTGAGGCCTGCTGGAGGTCCAGGCGCCCCCCATGCGGGCTCACCCCCTTCCTTGCTGGAGTCTCTCGTGTTAAATGAGGGGAGAGTGCAGGCAGCCAGGAGTGTCTCCTTTGAAGGAGCTATTCCCAGCGGGACTGGAGGACAGGGGCAGAGAGGGGCACTGCAGAAGGCTCTAGCCGATGCTTCCCTTTTACGAGCTCTCTCGGTCCCGTCAGACACCTAGTCCCATATGCCCGGCCCCACGCCCAGCCCATGTTCGGCTCCTACTCACAGAGGCGGCTCCCCAGAACGGGTACCAGGACTTCAGCACCACCAGGTGGAGGCTCCCGGCTGCAGAGATCAGAGAAGTCCCGAGGACCACATGCACCATAGCGATGAAAATATGGAAAGTCTGGGCAGTGGACAGAGGGCTCCTGTGAGGGGCCCAGCCCTGGAAGAGGTCACTGGAGCCCTGGGCCAACCGGCTGGAATGAGTCTGCTTCCCACCGTCTCAGGGCTCCTGGTGGGTCTGCCAGGCGGGATCACTCCTCAGGGAGGCAGATGGGGATCAAGGAGCGGTCCTACCACCTGTGACCGTGCCGCAGCACCGCCCCCCCCCCACCCCCGCGCCCCACCACAGGGGGTTTTTGGGGATGAGGAGGGTAGGGAAGGAGACTTCCTTTCCTACGAGGAAAGGAGCTGCAGACTTCCTGCGAGCCCGCGCTGAGCCAGTGCTGGTATGGGCATGAGCAGCCTCTCACCGCCTCCCACGGCATTTTCAACGTCAGGATGAGCATTAAGCAGGGAAGCTGGAGGCTTTCTCATATTCCTCCATCCTCAGGGCTCCCCAGCACCCTCCCCGAGTATCCCTGTCTGCTCCTCCCCAACCCCAGGCCCCCAGGAAATGGACACTCACGCCCAGCCCCTGGAGAAGGATGGTCCTCTTCCGGGGCCTCTCCTGGTGCCAGTCCGGAGGCAGGGGGAGACTTGTCTGGCCGCGCTGGGCTGGGCTGAGGGCCTGCCATGGCTCGAGCCCCCCAGCTCCAGATCGGGGGGCAACAGCGGCTGCTCCGGTTGCTTCTGCTGCCATGACTTGGCCCAAGGATCCTGGAGGCCGGCCAAGGAGACAGGCCGAGTCAGAACCCGTCTTGTTTCTGGGGCTTCTGCCTGGGTGAGGCTCAGTGACTGCCACATCCGCCCTTTGGACCAGGGCCTTCCAGAACAGTGGCTGCTCGGCCCCGCAGCCCTTGAACTTGATTTGACCCCGAATAAACTGGCCCCCGGGGATGGGGAGAAACTGAGCTGCTGCTCACCGCCTCTGTGCCGTTTGCAGGACACAGCTCCTTCCGGGGCTGAAAAATAAGGAGCAGACAGACTTCCCAATTATCCAAAGCCAGAGCTCACCCACTCTGGCAAGTGCAGTTTGGCAATAGCCCTGGCGCCGCCGCAGGCCTGGGCCGGTAGGGTGAACCTCCTGGCCTCGGAGGAGGCAGATGAGGGTGGGTGGGGGTCAGATCATTGTCCCGCCACCTGTGGCAATGGGGGTTTGGGACGATGGGGAACAGAAAGGAAGGAAACTCCTGCTGAGGACCTGCTATGTATGGGCCAGCACCGAGCTAGGAAGTCAATTTTTAACCAAGACAGTAAGTCAACATTCAGAAGTACTTTCTCTGTTCCTAGCAGTACCATCAGCGTTTTACCTTCATTGTCTGATTTTATCCTTAGCCCTGTGCCCATTTTGCATCTGATGCTCAGAGAGGCTAAGCCACTGGCCTAAGGTCACACAGCTAGCCAGTGGCTGGGCTGGGACTTAAAGCCTGGCAGACTGGCTCCAGAGCTTGTGTGGGCTTAAATCCTCCCTGTACAGTTGCCTCAGTGAATGAAAATGCACGTTCTGGACGTTTCAATGGGGGAAACTCTGCAGGAGACTCAGAGCACTGCTTGTTGAGGCCTGTCCGTCGTATGGGGATGCCGTGCAGCCCATCAGAACCTGGGGGCTGCCTGGTGGTCTGGTAAGAAAAGCTGAAGCCTTTGTCTGGAGAAAGGAGTGGATGGGGGCTGGGAGGGGAAGAGAGGGGAGTTGGCTGGAGTGATCTTGGTAGGAGATGATTCTCCATGGGGATGGGACGAATGAGAAAATCATTTAAAGAAAGTGACTCTTTTACTTTTTCTAGTAAAAAGAGAGTGGGGCACACGTCCTCCGAGGTTTTGACTCTGACTGTGTGAACTGAGGGGTCCTGTGGGAGCACCTGTCCGTACTTCACGATTCTCCTGCCGTGGAGGTGATGGTGAGGCGGGGAAGGAGCCTGGGGGGCCGGGAGGGGCAGCAGCCTGGACGGGGGGCTCCTGAGCAGCGTGGAAAGGAGAGGACAGGGTCGGGGAGCCAGAGGGCCAGATGGGGCCGCAGGGCTGGTAAGCAGCAGTGCTGCGCTAGGCACGGGGCCCGCTGACCCCCGGCAGTTCCCAGGAAGTTGTCTCCATCCCGCAGAGAGAGAACCATGGTTCAGGGAGGTCGGGTGTCCTGGCCAAAGTCACGTAGCAAAGAAGGGCCCGGGCCTGGGACTGGGTGGGGTCTGATGCCAGCGCTCTTTTCCCAGACAGCGGTGACCCCTCACCAGTATCTCCAGCGGCCCGTGGTAACAGCTCCTGGTTGTGGGGGGGGGCTGTGGGGAGGCTGGGCCTTTCTCTTTCCTGGGCTCCAGAAGCTGAGCCCAGAGACGCATGACTCTTTTCTGTGACCTGACCCAGCTGTGCTTGGGAATTTGTCCCTCTCTCAATTCCCAGCCACCAGGCCCCTCTGACATAGCCCGCTGGACTGGGACATGTAGCTGGTCGCAGAGACCTGTATCAGTTAGCCACGGCTGCAGCTCGAGTTCCGTGTGCTTGGGAAGACAGAGGAAGCGCCGTCTCCAGGAAGCACAAAGGAAGGAAGGCTTCTTGGCCGAGGGGTCTCGGATGGGAGAGGTTGTCCGGGGGGGACAGTGTGTTCCTGGTCCCGGGAGGTGTGCCTCCACCTGGCCTTTGCTTTGCGGAAGGGTGGCAGTGGGAATGGTTCAAAAATCCACCAGGGAATTAGATTCAAGAAGCCAGAGCAACCTTTCTCAAAGCGTGTTCCGTGGAACGCTGGTCCCGACAGATCAGCAGCAAAAGGCTGCCATGGCCAAACCAGTCCGGGAGCCCCGGATGCGATCTTCCCGCCGCTCAGCACGTCAAAGACCTGAGAACTCCTGCCGTGGAGTGCTCTGTCTCCATGGTGAGGGCCTTTCCCAAACTTCACTGGCCATGGAAACTTGGTCTCACTGTCTCATTGTCCAATAATTCTACCTGCTTGGTAAGCTGTGGAGACCGCTTTTGGCCTTAAACTTAGAGATGTGTGGTTGTGGGTTTTTTTGGGGGGTGGGGGGTGGTTTCTTTGACCTCTTTTTGGTTTTCTCGTGTGCCTATCACAGTGAGGTCAGGGACCGGACTGTGATCTCTGGGGTCACTGCCAGTTCCACATAATTCTCTCACACGACAGACAGCTGCGACAAGGGACTTTGGACGGCCAGGAGGGAAGGAGTTGGAGAAGGCAGGGCGCTTGTTGTGAAGACGGTCATGAACTCTGAGTCCTCAGAAGGCTTTTGCCTGTGATGCAGACCCTGGGGAACAGTGTGTGTGGGGGAACTATTTTAGCCTTGTCCCCTCCCTGGTTCTTGCAGTCGGGTCACAGCCCACAGGACCAGCCAGCCTGGCATTCCCAAGGACACCAGCCATGGTCTGGGTGCTCCCTGGGTCCCAGGCACGGAAAGAGCTAGGACCCTCCAGTTCCACCCCACGAGTGAACTAGGACATGAGCACTGGAGGTGGACAAGCCCAAGCCGATGCCCGCTTTGCTCTTTGGAACTTTGACCTTGGGCAGGCTGATTACATCTCAGCTGTGAGTCTCCTCACCTGTCACCTGGGAAGCGCTAGTGGCTAGGCTGGGTGGGGGAGGGGCTGTGGGGAGTACGTGGGATGACGTCTGCGCCCTGCAGGGCCTCGCTCAGGCAATGGCTCCCTGCGTGTTAGCCAGCGCTGCCAGCGGCCTGCCACCTGCCTGGAATCCTGCCGTCCAGGCTCCATCTGGCCCGTGTCTGGTTCTCATTTAAGACCTGAAGAGTCCTGCCTGCGTCATCTGGACGGACGGGTGGCCACGGGGTGGGGGCGGGGGCTGAGGGCCCTGGGGAAGGGTGCGAGGAGGGACGAGCGCACCGAGTGTATTGAATGAGTGGTCTGCGTCTGTCTCTGGAGTTCTGCAGACAGAGGAACCCGCGACCCTGATCAGACTCTGCTGCACAGGCCTGGAGGACAGCGAGAGCTTCCGAGGGTGTGTGTGTGTGTGTACACGCGTGTGCATGCATGTGCGCGCGCATGTGCGTGTGTGCGTGCATGTCAAGCAGAGAGAGGCAGCAGTTGAGAGGTGTCGAGTCACACCACGTGACAGAGGGGCTGGAGGGGCACTGGGGACCCACCTAGAGGGTTGGGGTTCGGTAGATGCTGGTTACAAAAAGGCTGTAAATGTGCCAAAGCCAGCCCCCACCCCCCAGAGCTTCAGGACTCAGTGCCGGTGCGGAGACAGGTTTGCCCACACGAAGGGGGCGGGGCCTGCGGGAAACAGAGGCTGCCACACTGGGGCGTCAGGAGGCCTGGATTCCAGACCTGGCTCTGAGTGGCCCTGGGAAAGCCCCGTTCCCTCTCTGGGGCTCTGCTCGCTCCAACCTGCCGCTCCGTGTGCAGGAGTTTCTGGGATCGGAATGAAAACGCCCCTCCCTGCCTCACCTCGAATGGTCAGCCACTGCCGGCAGAACAGGGCTCTAGGGCGTGAATTCCTCTGTGGGGTAGACGTGTGGGTGTCCCCCCGCTTCCCAGAGCCTCTTCATGGGGTGGACACCCGTTTCCAGCCACTGCAACTGATGCGCTCAGGGCCCACAGCTGCTGCCTTTCGGGAGTTCGGGTTGTGCCCTTCCCCCGAGGCTGCAGCAGGGCATAGGAAAGCCCCGCCTCCTTGCCTCAGGGTGGGACGAGTCTGTGCTTCTGAGCAACCGCCCCCCTCCCTACCTGCCCCCCCACGTGGGATCAGGCTGGAGTGGCTGGGCAGCTCAGTCCACATCTGCCCTTGGCTCATCTCATCTGCCTGGTCCTGCTTCCCTTGGTCCGCTCCTCCTGAGAGCGCTCCTTCGCCGACCAGCGGCACAGAACCCTTGTCTCAGGCTTTGCTTCTAGAAATCTGATGGAGACCTCATTCCTGCTGGAGAGGGTGGGGGGACCACTCACCCGGCCCGGCCCGGGACCTCCGCTCGGAGCCCCCAGCCACACTCTGCCCTCCGGACTCACCTCGGCGTCAGGGCGAGAGTGCCTGGAGGTGAGGACTTTTTTGTAAACATCAGACTTTGGATCTTCTCCCTCGGGCCCCACCTCCTGCTTCGTGCCCAGCAGCAGGGGAGCCCTCAGTGTGTCTGTCCCCCCCAAACCGAGCAGGTGGGCACCCTCCTTTAGAGTTGGACACTTCCTTTGGCGAGTCCGAGTTGGCGATTTCACCCGTGTACAGAGCAGGACAGAGGGAGTGAGGATGACTGTAAAGTCTTCCTAGAGTCAGAGGCTGAGCCTTTCTAACTTTGGGAAACCTCAAACGTTCACAGAAGTGGGGAGAATGGCCCGGCGAACCCCACGGACCACCCCCCAGCTCAGCGGTCCTCAGTTCTCGGCCGTCGTGTGCCCCGACTCCCACCCTTCTCCCCCGTTGGTGAGCAAAACTCAGACGTCCTACTGTCTACTATTTGTCTCTCAACGGTAAGGACTTTGACAGGAGGTACGACCACAGGTCACAACTGAGAATTAAAATGAGCTCAGTTCTGGTGCTCACAGAAGCACCTGGACCAGGAACGCCATCGCCCCTCGGCCCTGGAGCCCTGTCCGTGGACAGAGCCTGTGGCTCTGTCGAGGACAGGCTCAGCGCGGGCAGTCAGGAAAACCTCTTCTTGCCTGGTTGCTGCGACACGCTAGACATCGAACATCTGGTCAGTGATCAGGTGCCTCTCGTTGTCTTCCTAGCTCCTGCGACCTTCGACTGGCTTGCATCGGGACCCAGGCACCGCCCACGAGTTGCACCTGGCTGACGTGGGGGAGCCATCTGTCTCTGCCCTGTCCCCTGTGCCCTGTCACCACGCTGCCCCCGAGGGTGGCGCCTGACGTGGTGGTTCTGGTGGGAGGGGTGGGGGTGTGCTCTGACCGCCCTCAGCTCCCACCCTGGCCACCTCCTTTCCATCTCCCTGCACTGTCACTCCACGGAGGGGTGCATCCCGGAGGACCTCCCTGGCCTGCATGTGTGGCTTCAGCATGCTGGACCTAGCAGAGACTTTCAGAGCCGATGCTGGGCTGCCCGAGTTCAAATCTCGATTCTACCACTTCATAGCTGTGAGACCTAGGGCAAGTCATTTGACCACTCTGGGCCTCGGGTTTCCCCTCTGCAAAATGGGGATAATAATACCTATCGATTTGCTAAACCATCAAATGGCTTAGAATACAGAGAATG